GACAATTAAATCAGAATAACATAAACAATTCTAATAAAAACGAGATTGAGAACAACGTTGCTGAAGTTAAGTTACACCAATGACATGAAATTAGGCTTCAAAATCCCCTTGAACTGAAGAAGGAAATTAGCCGCACATCTTGATCTAGAACGCAAAAACTCTCAAAAATTAAAACTCTAATATCCTCCCTCCGTTTAACCTAAAAACTTCTAATTAAATAACATGTGTTTTCCTTAATTCTTCCCCAAGAATCACGGAATTTCTTTCCTAGACGTTTCCTAGAAGATAGACTTCCAGATTTGATAAAATCTGATCAGATATGGATTCCAGAATTCGTCTCCAGCTTGCACCAGGATTCTTGTAATGTAAAAGATCTTTTCTAGGCTCCATCACTTCATGAAAATTGTATTCCAGGATGTGTAGATGAATCTGGGCTTTTGAATCACCCGTTTTCGATATCTGACGCTCCAGTTAGGCCCATTCGAAGATTCAATACTCAGCTAAGGAAACCTTCCGCGACTAGGATTCCAGGTCCGGTTTTGCAACAACTACTGAGAACCCAAACGAACTCGTATTCTTGCCCATAATACCTTCCTGAAAAGCTTGATTTGTCTACTTTAATTTCTCTGAAGAACACTTTTGCAATCGAGGAATCTAGCTCCCCGAAAAACCTGAAAACATAGCACTGGTCAGAATAACGAAAAATCTGGAAAATCTGGAATTTCCTAATCTTTTCTCAATTATTTCCTAAAGTCTATCCAAATATGTCAAACTTACAAAATAAGCTATAATCAGCTCAACTAGGCATAAAACATAACAAAAAACATAATATGAAAGGAATAAAAATATATAAATTACACTCTTATCAATGAGCAAGACCACTCATGTAACAACATAAATAGGAGTTTCTCAGCCCTAAAAGAGGATCCAAGAATTTCATTTTTCTCAATAGCAAAGAGCAATTGTCCCATTTGAGAAGCAAATACCCTTTATAAACACATAAAAAACACGCAAGAAAAACAATAAGATAACAGTGGACGTAGAATTTGTGTTTTGCATCCGAACTACTTTAAAAGCTGCTTTTATGTTCTCTTTATTAATTTACTCACCTTGTTATTATTTTTCTCATTGGTTCAACATCATATTCTCGGTCTCTAGCAGACCCTTACGCGAACTTCCTTGAAGACTCGCATACTAGGGATGGGCATGGGCATGGGCATGGGCTAGAGACCCTCTCTCTAGCCCCGACCCGAAAGCCCAAGGGGATTCCCTGATCTTGACCTGTAGCCCGAACGGGGAATTCTAGGGATTCAGTGGATCCCCGAAATCCCCGTTTGGGTATTGCATTATATTTTTTTTTTAAATTCTTAATGATTAAAAAAATTATAATGAATCAAAATATAATTATGATACATTATACATATATGTAAATATATTATATATTAATGGTATAAGATTATGTATTATTGTATTGAGTAACAAGTATTAATATATAAATATATGATATTATGATTACGAATAATAGCATATTATGTATAATGTATAATAAATTCTAAATAAATTATACCATACACATTACAATGTCTCATTAATACTCTAAATAATAAATAACATTATACATAATGTATTACATATGATACATTATATATTATAATAAATTCTAAATAAATAACTACCATAATATAATAAGGGCCATTAGGTAATGGAATTGACATAATGATTCAATGAGGGACCAAAAAAATTTATAATGATTTATTATAATCAATCAAAATATCAAATGATACATTATACATAAATAACACATACACACACACACACACACACACACACACACACACACACACACATATATATATAAAATGATATATTATACATATATAACATATTTATTATGTATTACAAATATTTATTATGATTTATTATATTTAATCTAGATTTATTTATTATCTATTTGTATATGGTTTTATAAAATATTCACACAATTATAATTTGTTCTTGTATAATTTATGGCTTCATTGATTGATTTTTAACCATATATATATATGGGGTGGGGATGGGCCAGGCCGGGGCGAGACCAATCCTGTCGCTGACCCATCCCCGAGTTCGGGGACCAATTTTCAGCTCGGGCCTGACCCAAATCCTGAATAATTCAGGGAAACTCCGTCCTGTTTGGAGTAGGTTAGGACGGATCCCTGCGGGGACATGTATTATGCCCATTCATATCGCGTACTTCTTGTTGGTGTGAGAAATCGCAATATATATTCTAATTTTAAAAAAAAAAAAAAAATTATGGACCACATCCCGTGAACCAAGATAATGTTATTAGTTTATAATAATTTCCCTTTATATCTTGTGTTGCTTTATTAAAGACAGAAATATATGGTTAAAAAAAAAAAAAAAGACGAAAGAGATTGATGTTGATGCAAATTAGGTAGGCTGCTTAATTCAGGTTTCAATTTGAACAGCGTTTCATACGAAGAGTTAAGAAGTAAAGCTCTTGGAATCCCACTACAATGTGCTATGCTGTTTGTGCACAAAATCCAGATTGGAATGAGCTTGTAAATGAAAATCATTCTCATATTTCCTTTGTTGCATGCCACAATGAGCATAAAATTAAGTGCAGTTCACATCACAACAACTTTAGATATGCATTTCCAGGCTTTAATTTTCACAAATATATATACACCTTCAAAATATACCAGGGCTAGAGGTGCGCCTCTACAATTTTAAGCATGAATATGATAATTGGGCTTCAGCCCCATTATATATATCTTATGGTATAAATTATACCATATGGTACAACGGGGCAGCTATTGCAGAATCAAAATAGGCAAGTTAAGTTCTCATTGGCTTCAGCCACCATTTACCATTTATCACTCATCCACACCCATTAACTTTGGATATATTTTTTTATTCCGCTGTTAAATTAGCTTGCATTAACATTGATGAGATTTTAGGTGGGGTTCTAAATTAAGCTACATTGATGAGATTTTTATTTTAGATAAAACTAAAAAATTTACAAAATCCAAACATTCAAGAGGTCAAAACTGTTTTATAAAATAAACTAATGAGAAGAATTAATAGTAACTAATTAGTAAGAGAATCATAGTATTTGTTAATGCAATAATTTGCACCAATGAGAAGTACGTAGGATTCCAGATATATTTACGTAGGAGTTTGTACAAAACCCAAATATTTGATGCTGGATCGATAGATGAGTGATAAACACAAATTAAAACAAGCAATCGCACAAGGAAAATGATTTTTAAAGTTGTTCAGATGCTTAATGCAAATCCTACGTTCACTATTATTTTTTTGTTTTCTTTGTTTTTGCTGTGCACAAGTATGACTACAAAGTGAATAATTTCGGATCCCTAATTTGAGTAAAAAATATGCTTATATATTATTATAGTGGCAAACTTATAATTAAAGTTAACCTAAAAAGACTAGTATGTGACGTGAATATATGCCTCAAGGATTTACCGTACAACACTTGCACCCTAGGTTTTGGAGTACAGGGTCGGGCTTCAAAAACTTAACTTGTCTATGATGCAACATTTGTCATGGCTCGGGCTGCAACCACGAGCTACTATTCTTTGTGACGGACTAGAACTATTGATGTATGTCGGATCTAGACACATGGTATGTGGATTTCTAGAGGTCTTGTTCGCTTTGGGCTTTAAGACCCACACGATTTTGTCATGAAAAGATGTCTTTGGGTGGTGAGGGTGTTCTTATGCTATATAAGCAGTTTTGTCATGAAAAGACACCTTTGAGCGGTGAGGGTATCCTTGTATTATATAAATGACCAAGACCTTTATCTTCTAACAGATGTGAGACTTTTAATAACAGTAAGATTTTTGTTATTTTTAAACATGTGGAGGATCGATGTCTTTAAATCTTAATTCTATAACATTATAACTAATGACTACTAAATTTAATATTTATTTTTTTATTATAAAATACTCAATACTATTTTTGTCGTCTTAATTTTACTAGTAATTATTTTTAATTATTTACATTAACAATGATAGTACTTATATAGTAATTAGTTATAAGAAACTTGAATGGAGATATGTTAATTATTTTAAGGGTTGGGGGTACTATAACTAAACCTTTAAGTTAATTTTTTTACACTCCTTATGAACCGTTCGTATTTTTTATTTTAACGGTGATGAGAGAAAGGTGCCTTTGTGTGGTAATAATGTTCTTGTATTTTATAAGTGACTAAGACCTTCATCTCTTAACCAATGTGTAACTTTGGTACCAATTGTTTATATGATAAAAAAATATAAAATATTAATCTATATTTAAAATATAAAATTACAATTTAAAAATCCTTTAAAAAAATTAAAAGCTTCTTAGGTAAGTACAGTATCTGTAATTTATATAGAAGCTTTGATATTGTATTTTTTTCAGAAGGATGGAAGTCTTGTATTAAAATGTTGGTCAATTTACTGCATTATGTAGCCCAACTTTGGTCCTCAAGTAACAAGACCATAAAAACCTAACATCATTATCTTTTATAAACCAAAGCTGTTTTTTATAAAATAAAAAATAATTTAACCATCTTATTTAAGCCTACGAACTCTCTATGTATCATGAAATTGTCTTAATTTATTTATTTACTTTTCATCTTGTCAAATAAGAATAAAATGACGTTATTGTACTGGCATATAGAAACATCATCACAACTAATGTACATTAAACTCTTGGGGAAATATCTTTCATTTTGGAAAATCATTGGGGGAGTTAAAGTTGCTACGTATCCCAAACCATGGAGGTAGTCAACTAAGTCAAGGGACGAATTTTAGATAATCCAAATGTGAGTGTGTTTTCTCAAACGTTTTGGGTCTGGGTTTACTTCCCTAAATCTTAGGAGTGATCCGATAATTTCCTAATATCTTTAGTCTTTACTTTCTGGTGAGGCCACGTGTTGACTGTTGAAGCCTTAGTCTAGCTCTAGCACCATCAAGAAACGCACCTGGACAGGGCAACATAACCATAATAGCCTCATCTCTTGCAAACCTCACTCTGTTTCTCAACACAAACAAAACAACAACCAGAAATTCAAAGCCCAAAAAAAAAAAAATGTCAACCTTCAGAGTTCAGCCTGCCACAACATTTGCTATCTCCTCAACAATTAAGCACTTTGGCTTCACTCTCCGCTTTCCCCAGAAAAACTGCGCCGTTTTCAGGCGACCTCGAAACCTCTCAATTATGGCGGCCTCTACTGATCCTCTGGAAATCTGCGTCAAAGCTTCGGTCACTGCTCCTAACAAACCCGGCGATTGTAAGTACTTTCTTCTCTTCACCATAATTGCTTCCTTAGAAATAAGTGATTTTTTTTTTCTTCTTTTGTGGACTGTATAATATTAAAGTAAGCGTTTAATTTAAGCGTCTTGCTTCTTGCTTATAAATAGGTCTACTTCTGTTTTCTTTAAATTTGCCTACCAATTCTCGGTTGCCAAATAGAATGCGAACAGTTTACATTGGGGATAACACATTTTAAATGAAAGATATTCAAAATGTATTAATCTCACTCATAATTTGTGTTAAAAAAAAAAGGCAAAAGTAGCTGTAGGTGTGAAATATACGAGTAGTGCTATGCTTCCTAATTTTTTATCTGAAGTTTTCGTTTCAACTGATACAACACTAATTAATTGAAGAAAATGTGGTATATGTTGAGTAACCATCAATTTGAAAACTCAAACTTAAACAGACAGGAAATATCAACGAATGGCATTGACTGCTATCTAATTAACAGATATGTTGCTTGTATTAAAGACATGAAACACTTGCATGGATCCAAATATTGTTTTAATTATCCTTATTATTTTTGTTTTCTAGTTAAGTACAAATCAGTTGTATTCTTTCCTAAACTCAAGTTTAGATTATCTCCTTAAGTGGTGACATGAGCTTTGATCAGATTAATGTATTCATAATTTCAATTTTTTAGGTTTGGTTCATAATAAGAGAAACGGTTGAAAAAAGAAGAAGAGAAAAGAGGAGAAGATTGGCCAAGAGATAATATAGTAGTCTTTGCTCTCTTTTACTTCTATCTACACATATGGTTAATCAATGATGCAAAAATTACAATAATATTCTTAAAATTAAACAATATAATTCTTCCCACACAAATTATAAAAGAATACTATCTATATGGTTATATTGTCTCATGTACTTATTATATTACATAAGTAGTTGGTTGCACAACTGCATGATATGCTGCTTATTGCTTAATGCTGCAGTTTTGAGGATCAGTGCATATGGTATTAACTAATATCGTCCAGGTCCTTTTTGCCAAAGGGTATTGCTTACTATGGAGGAAAAGCATCTACCTTATGACATGAAGTTGGTAGATTTGAGTAACAAGCCAGAATGGTATCTATTTTTGTTTCATATTCTGGGCTAAGTTTCTTAAATTGTATAAAATTATTTTAAGAATTAAACTTGCTCACACCTTAGCAAAAACTATTTCTTTATGCTACTTTAAAAGACTGCCTTTCATTTTTCTTAGGTTTTCTTAATGCATATTTATGAACTTACAAATATGTTTTATGATATCTAGGTTCTTAAAAGTCAGTCCAGAAGGTAAGGTTCCTGTTATTAAACTTGAAGAAAAGTGGCTTCCAGATTCAGATGTTATCACACAATTGTTGGAAGAGAAGTTCCCTGATCCACCATTGGTAACCCCACCTGAGAAGGCTTCAGTGTATGTTTTTATCTTCAGTAGATGTCCATTGCAATGATTGATTATGCATCTTTACTCATTCCAAGTTCTATTGGGCTCTGTGGACTGTAATGTCTTTGCTGCTTTCAAGCTTTTAAAGTATGCTTGATGGCAATGCTGTTGAACATGAATGTGGAATCTACTAATTGATGATGGTTTTACCCTTCATAAGGGTTGTGCGGCCAACAAATTTTCTTAGAACATGAACTTCTCTTATTTGGTCCTGGCCATAATATAATAGAAGCTATTAGTATTGTTTGTGATTAAGGCTTGATTGTGTTGAGTTGAGTTTTGCGATGTTATTACTCCTTTTCCAAAATTTTGGAATAACTAAGAACCTTGCCTATATATTTTGGTTTTGTGTTCCCCCCCCCCCCCCAAAAAAAAACAGTTCTTAATTGTTTTAGAATTGAAAAATGCTATCCTTATAAAGACAATACAAAGAGAGCTACAAAGTGACATCAGCAGGAAGGAAAAAACAAAGAAAAAACGGAAAAAGAGAGAGAGAGAAATCATGAAGATGAAGGGTGGAAATTGTCTTTGTATACCCTTTTTGTTTTTGTCTTTGTAAGACTAGTATTGCTCTTTAGAATTACTATATAAATTCTGGAACTAAGGGTAGCCCATGAATTTTTATGCAGTGGATTGAAGATCTTCTCCACATTTATTGGTTTTTTGAAAAGCAAAGACTCTGGTGATGGAACTGAGCAGGCATTACTTAATGAACTAAGTTCATTTGACAATTATATCAAAGAAAATGTGAGGCTTCTATCTTAATCTTTCCTTACTGCTTCACTATTTTTTCTGTGATGAAATGTTATTGCTTACCTTCTCTAACAACAATTGGTGGCTTAAAAATTTAAGCTTCCACAGTTTGAATGTTCTCTATTATTTACTTATATTGTCGTCTGAAAGAAGTGTAGTTTGGAAATAATATGTTTAACTATAGTTCAACCCTTATCATCCACCATTTTCGAAAAGTTGTCAAGCATGTCAGGAAGATTCTATTAGATTGAATTAATTAACAACATGCGTGCATTTTGTTTACACAAAAGATATTAGCATATTATCTTCTTTCTTTTTTTTTTTTTTGTGAAGAAATTGACAAGCACTTGATATGTGATTTCGAGGTTACTTTGATTTGCTTCAGACAGTATTATGTGTTCTTGTTTTTTGGCATAGAAATCGTGGAATACTGATGATTGTGGATTAGAGACTCCAAAGTTCAATCACATTTTCTTATCCCAGGGTCTGTAGCCCCTACAACCTTCACTAACTATTTTCCTCCTCTTGAAGGGCCCTTTTATCAATGGGGAGAAGGTGTCTGCAGCAGATTTGTCTCTGGCGCCGAAGCTATACCATCTGGAAATTGCTCTGGGGCATTATAAGAAATGGTCTGTTCCAGATTCACTTCAGTATGTGAAGTCTTACATGAAGGTATGCCCAAATAGGCTGCATTTTTTATTGAATTTATAGCCTACAGGGTTATTAATTTATGAATGGGAGGAATTTTTTTTGTCACATTAAATTGCGGGCTTTACTTCTGAGAGAATTGGTGCAGGGCAACAATAAATTTCCATTAGGTGAATAGTTCCTTCCAAGAAAACTTTATCACGTGCTATATTGGAATGTCCAGTAACAACTTGTGTGGAATTTGGTGAAAAAAACTCTTATCTTCTTTCTTTACCCATCTGCCCTAATGCCTGAATGGGTTTTAAAATTGATGATTAGGTAGTTCTCCTCAGGGCCTTCAGTTTGGGAATTCCTTTTCTTGATTATTAGCCCTGGCAGTTGATGGTTTTGTGATTTTTATAGATGAGTTATCCTTGCCTGCCATCTTTTTGTTCTTTTCTGTAGGAATATAGAAGAAATTCCTACAGAAGAAAGGTAATATAGAAAATTCTTTTGGAACAGCACTTTTGAAGGAATCATATGTTCAGAGGAGCATTGTGTCAAAATTTATTCTTACCATTAGATATTGAAGGCAGATTGTACTTATGAACCGGTCGATAACCTTTTAAGTTATTAATCAAAAATACATTTAATAAAATTTCATAGTGCAACATAAAATTATTCCTCTAGTAAGAGGTATGGGTCCTTGTAGAGGTCACTGCAAAATGTCTACTTTTTTGTGCTTAAAACAAATTTTTGAAGCCAAATCCATTGAATCCTTAGTAAGAGTGAATTGTTCTTAGTAGGATATGGTTGCTTCTTTGAAATTTGGTAATATCTTGAGGGAGACATGGACATTTGGAAGTTAGTGGAGAGGTAATTTTCTTGTATAAAAGGTTTTGTTGAGTCAAAAAAAGGAGGTGGAATTAGCTATTAAACCTAATCCTCAAAGGTTATTCTTTCTTTCTGTTTGTTTCTGTTCAAGGAATTCTTGCTGTTTTGTTCGTTTTATCTTATCATGGCTTGGAGTTTCAGAGTTTTGGTTGTTATGGTGTAATTGCCATTGTTCATTCACTAAATCCATTATGCAGAGAACATAGCTCTGTTCTGGAAAAATGTTCAGCTATTTCAGCTAATCATCTTTTAACCCAAACTAACATGCATACTCTGCTCTCTTCCTGAACTTTTCCCTAGTAAGTTCTTCTTGAAAAATGATTCCATTGGTTTAACAGCTGGATTTTTTGACATATGATGCTTATCATGATGTTTAATTAAGTAGTACAAGCCCTTTTTGCTGATAAAGACCTAGATTCCTAGTCATATTACAGCATCTCAGCCATACTCCATTCTTGGAAAACCCCTATATTTTAGCTGTTTGAATTTCAAGCCCCTAATATCTGTGTTACGGTCTTGATTAAGTATCCTTAACCTAGACTTTGTTTCTCAATTAATTTGATGACCAAGTGATTAATTCATTGCTCATGAGTTGTGCCTTTTGCTTCCTCTTTAAGTAAATCGGTACTCTAGTCAATTGTTCTCTCTCTTTTTGAGTTCTCATTGAAGTGGTAAATTCACGTGTGTTGGCATGCTCCTAATTTTGAAAAAAAAATCATGTGATTTGACATCAATTTTACCATGTGATTATGGATTTATACTTCTCATTTGTCAGTTTCATTCTGTGTCTATGATATTTTCATGCTAACAACTATCGGTGGCCCTGAAGGGCACTCAAATTTGTCATATTAAACAAGTATATGTGTGGAAAACTTCCCAAAATCTCTTGCAGTTTAATGAGCAGTTGCTGGGCTACGCACATGATTGAATAGTTGGTTCCTCTGATTTTTACTGTTGAATCATGTAAATAGTGATTTTGTCAATGGTAATTATCATGTGTAAACTATAGTAGAAATCTATCAACTTAAGCTTAGGAATTTAATATCTTCTAATCAGGCCTATCATACATGTAATGATATATGTTTCTAATGCTGCTATAATTTTGTGATATTTCAGAACATTTTCTCAAAGGATTCATTTATTAAAACACAAGCACTTCCAGAAGATGTTATTGCCGGTTGGCGTCCCAAAGTTCTTGGTTAATATCTTTTCAAGCTGTTGTTGCACTCTTTTCCAAACGAATTATCAGGTATCTCCCTGTGATCTTCGGCTATGGATGTGGAATGTTGTAATCCTATAACTAAGACCAACCTTCTGTATTATAGTTGGAATCAGTTCTCTGTATTTTAGCCTTGAAATAAAGTAAAATCCTTATTCTAATTATTACTTGGGAATTATCTTCATGTAAATTGTTTTTATCATAGTTTATTGGTACATCGCAGGCATTGTTCGCATCAAGGACTCAAGTTTCACCAGCCGTTGTTTTGAAGTAGACCAATCTTCAAATTGCATATTAGATGCTTTATAAATCTATTACCAGAGTATCATTTCCCCCGAACAATTCATGCACAAGTGTCATTCGCTCATGCAGTTTTGTTCTCTCCAATTTAACAAATCTAGCAAGCCTCAGCTACCTTGCCACTTGGAATGGAGACTACAACCCTCACTGATCTCATTTATAACTTTGGAAGAAAATCATAAAGAATTTGTACTAAATTAAAGGAATCATTTTCAAGAAAATGGCTTAAAATCAGTTATTGGAGTTCTTGATACAGTCAAACATACAAATTATAATAATAATAATAACAATAATATTAGGTGTATAATCATTTCTCATAATCTTTGATAGTTCGTAATTGGACAGACAAGATTTATAGCAACTACACGCGATTAATTTATGAGTTAATTAATTATGAGATGTCAGAAGTTGTGAGATTGAATTGTAAACTTAGCATTACTCTAATAATAAATATTAAAAATGATTTACTCTAATAATAAATATTAAAAATGATTGAGGAAATTAACAATGCCGCATATGGATAATGGATCAACCTCAAATCTTTAAAGGAGATGTCTCAAAACTATACCTTTATCGTTGATCTAAAAACCATTTGAAAAGTGAATACAAGTGGGGACAAAGGCAGTTATAAAATCATATTAAATTTAGTAAACAAGTACAATGATGAACATGTATGATTCAGTCGATTGAATCAGCTACAGGAAAGTTGGGCCCTTAAATACTGACTAAAGTAATATTTAATTACTATAACATCAATAGATCACCAAACTGCATTTGTTACCTGTTTTATCCATTTTATTCTGCTTAAATACCTAATAGCTGTTTGCACTTTAAACAAGGAAAAAAGAAGTAATGAAAATAATCTAATGGCTGCGAGAAACAACGAAGTTAGCAATATGATACAAAGGGGCAGCCATTGTAGAATCAAAATAGGAAAGCTCTTCTTTGGCTTCAACCACCAACTCTCTGGCATACTTCTTTGACTCATCCACACCCATCAACTTCGGATATGTGGCCTTATTTCGCACCAAATCCTTTCCAGCTTTCTTCCCCAACTCCTCTGTGTTTCCAGTTTCATCTAAAATATCATCCCACACTTGATACGCCAACCCCATACACTTCCCGTACTTCCTAATCTTCTCTATCTCAACATCATTTCCTCCTCCAACTAAAACCCCACAAACCACTGACGTCTCTACAATTTTCCCAGTTTTGTTCCTGTGAATGAACTCCAATTCACTCAAACTTACTTCTTTTCCTTCACTGTTGATGTCTGCAACCTGCCCTGCCACAGCTCCTTTTGACCCAAGTGCTGAACATAGCTCGACAACGGCTCTAACCAGGCGATCAGATGAAATTTTGCCTTTGGTTTTAGTTACAAAATGTTCAATAGCGAGAAAGGATAGAGCTTGAGAAGCAAGAACTGAAATTCCTTCACCAAAAACCTTGTGATTTGCAGGCTTTCCTCGTCTAAGATCGTCATTATCCATGCAAGGGAGATCATCAAGAATCACAGCCGATGCTACCATCATCTCTAGTGCACAAGCCATTGGCATCGCCAAAGACTCGTTTCCTCCAACCAACTCTCACGAGGCAATGCATAGAGTTGGAGCGAAACGTTTCCCACCGGCTTGAAGAGTGTACCTCATTGCCTCGTGAAGTATCGGTGGTGTATTTTGCGATGGAACCACTGCTTCATCCAGTGCCTTGTTGATTTGGTTTACCTTCGTGGCCCTGTATTCTGCAAAGTTGAATTCTGTAGACGGTAAAGGGTTCTGCTGGGAGTTTGCCGTCAGATTCCGGTGGCCTGAAAATGGTGACTTTCTTGGGAGGTTTATTAGACCATTAATGGAGTTGCGGAGGAGAGTTGAAGCCATGGGAACGTGGTTTTGCAGCTGAAGGAATCTTTCCTTGTATATAAATATAATTTTACTTAGCTTCACACATCTGAATCATCATAATTACATCTTTCTATCATATATATATAAAGTCCAACGGCTAACGACAACCTGTTTTTGTTTAATTATTATTAGTTTTACAATTTCTAGATAAATTATAATCTAATACTTAAAGATGATAATGCTACCGCTACGATCTTGCGGCATTCTTGGCCCTTTTTATAGAGGTTGAATTGCCTTAATTTACCGTGTATTGAACATGCAACTCAAAGGTCATAGTTAATATTATAATAAAAAGTAACAATTGAGGCTCCTTGTGACTTATTATTTCTATACATATTTTTAATCTTATTCCTTAAATATTGTTTAGCACATTATTTGAGAAATATTAGTCTATTTTTTAATTACTTTTAGACTCCTTAAGTTTATTAATTTCATAATACCCCCTGAAAAAAGTTTAAAATTAACAAAAACACTCCCATCCACCAATACTTGCCAAATTCCGACAACCATCATTGGTGATAGTCGAAATCTGTTACAACAGTCTACACCACCACCGAAAATGGCCGGTAATTCACTGATCTGGCCTTTTCCGACCAAATCCATAGTGTATCTAGCCGAAAAAGGTAAAGAAATGGCTATCGTTGACGGCTCTTGGCCATCGTTGACAGACAACGACGGCGACATTTGTCCATGGTGGATCTAGCCAGAAAAACGCTATATTAACGCCCTACTCGCTAGATCCGACCGGTCTGTGGTATAACACAATTTTTCGGTCAGATTCCGATAGTGGTGGCCGAAATCTGGCACTGCGGGTGATGGGGGTGTTTTTGTCATTTTACAAAATTTTATATATTGGGGTGTTTAGTTAAGTTAGCAAACCTAAGGGGTTTTTCTATAAATTTTTTAATTTTACCTCGTAATAAATTAGCAAACCTAAGGGGTTTTTCTATAAATTTTTAAATTTTACCTCGTAATAATCTCTTATTCAACTATCCAATATTATTCCCAAAATCCTATCTAAAATAATAAAACAAACGGACCCTAAGATATTTACTTTTCCTTNTATTTAATTACTATAACATCAATAGATCACCAAACTGCATTTGTTACCTGTTTTATCCATTTTATTCTGCTTAAATACCTAATAGCTGTTTGCACTTTAAACAAGGAAAAAAGAAGTAATGAAAATAATCTAATGGCTGCGAGAAACAACGAAGTTAGCAATATGATACAAAGGGGCAGCCATTGTAGAATCAAAATAGGAAAGCTCTTCTTTGGCTTCAACCACCAACTCTCTGGCATACTTCTTTGACTCATCCACACCCATCAACTTCGGATATGTGGCCTTATTTCGCACCAAATCCTTTCCAGCTTTCTTCCCCAACTCCTCTGTGTTTCCAGTTTCATCTAAAATATCATCCCACACTTGATACGCCAACCCCATACACTTCCCGTACTTCCTAATCTTCTCTATCTCAACATCATTTCCTCCTCCAACTAAAACCCCACAAACCACTGACGTCTCTACAATTTTCCCAGTTTTGTTCCTGTGAATGAACTCCAATTCACTCAAACTTACTTCTTTTCCTTCACTGTTGATGTCTGCAACCTGCCCTGCCACAGCTCCTTTTGACCCAAGTGCTGAACATAGCTCGACAACGGCTCTAACCAGGCGATCAGATGAAATTTTGCCTTTGGTTTTAGTTACAAAATGTTCAATAGCGAGAAAGGATAGAGCTTGAGAAGCAAGAACTGAAATTCCTTCACCAAAAACCTTGTGATTTGCAGGCTTTCCTCGTCTAAGATCGTCATTATCCATGCAAGGGAGATCATCAAGAATCACAGCCGATGCTACCATCATCTCTAGTGCACAAGCCATTGGCATCGCCAAAGACTCGTTTCCTCCAACCAACTCTCACGAGGCAATGCATAGAGTTGGAGCGAAACGTTTCCCACCGGCTTGAAGAGTGTACCTCATTGCCTCGTGAAGTATCGGTGGTGTATTTTGCGATGGAACCACTGCTTCATCCAGTGCCTTGTTGATTTGGTTTACCTTCGTGGCCCTGTATTCTGCAAAGTTGAATTCTGTAGACGGTAAAGGGTTCTGCTGGGAGTTTGCCGTCAGATTCCGGTGGCCTGAAAATGGTGACTTTCTTGGGAGGTTTATTAGACCATTAATGGAGTTGCGGAGGAGAGTTGAAGCCATGGGAACGTGGTTTTGCAGCTGAAGGAATCTTTCCTTGTATATAAATATAATTTTACTTAGCTTCACACATCTGAATCATCATAATTACATCTTTCTATCATATATATATAAAGTCCAACGGCTAACGACAACCTGTTTTTGTTTAATTATTATTAGTTTTACAATTTCTAGATAAATTATAATCTAATACTTAAAGATGATAATGCTACCGCTACGATCTTGCGGCATTCTTGGCCCTTTTTATAGAGGTTGAATTGCCTTAATTTACCGTGTATTGAACATGCAACTCAAAGGTCATAGTTAATATTATAATAAAAAGTAACAATTGAGGCTCCTTGTGACTTATTATTTCTATACATATTTTTAATCTTATTCCTTAAATATTGTTTAGCACATTATTTGAGAAATATTAGTCTATTTTTTAATTACTTTTAGACTCCTTAAGTTTATTAATTTCATAATACCCCCTGAAAAAAGTTTAAAATTAACAAAAACACTCCCATCCACCAATACTTGCCAAATTCCGACAACCATCATTGGTGATAGTCGAAATCTGTTACAACAGTCTACACCACCACCGAAAATGGCCGGTAATTCACTGATCTGGCCTTTTCCGACCAAATCCATAGTGTATCTAGCCGAAAAAGGTAAAGAAATGGCTATCGTTGACGGCTCTTGGCCATCGTTGACAGACAACGACGGCGACATTTGTCCATGGTGGATCTAGCCAGAAAAACGCTATATTAACGCCCTACTCGCTAGATCCGACCGGTCTGTGGTATAACACAATTTTTCGGTCAG